TGTGCGACTGAACAACAACAAAAGTCTTCTCCAAAGAGTCAGGAGTGCACACAGGCTGAGCTCCTCAGCCAAAATCTACGCGCCTGCAGCAGTTCGTTAGAATTATCCCCTGTTAACCTCTCGTATCAGGTCTCAGAACGGCTTTAAGCCACCGAAACTGGGACTGCTTTACAGTGGAAAGACTGGATGGTTTTCACTACGGTTTTTACTGATGCCCGGGAGCTTTCAAAGGGTAATGATGTCGGGCTCGTTCCATTTGCTTGCACACAGAACAGACATTTTCGTCTTGCTATAAATGGCTTGGGGCCAGTGTTCCCTCTAAGCTGAGTTAGTGTGAGCCAGCTCACAGTTCTTTAGCCTCCGGCTCACACATTTTTGTCTCTGCTCAGGAAGGGATGGCTCCAGAGGCAAACTAATTTATGCAGTAGTCAAATCGCTCACTCACAACTTCAATGCCAGTAGCTCACAAAGTAGAATTTCTGCTCAGAAGACTCCACAGCTTAGAGGGAACATTGCTTGGGGCTGCAGTGGCTCAGAGGTTATGATGCTGAGCTGCAGACCGGAAGGTTGGTAGTTCGGCAGTTCGAGACCCGAGTGCTGCGTGAAGGAGTGAGCTCCTGTCTCTGGCCCCAGCTCCTGCCGACCTAGCAGTCTGAAAGCAAGAAATGGCAAGTAGATAAATAGGTACCGCTTCAGTGGGAAGGTAACAGCATTCTGTGCGCCTCGGCGTTTAGTCATGCCAGCCACATGACCACGGAGAAGTCTTCAGACAGTGCTGGCTCTTCGGCTTGGAAACAGAGATGAGCATCGGCCCCAAGAGTCGGATTTCAAGCAAGGGAAACCTTTACCTTTTATAAATGGCTTGCCTTAATGCTCCCCAGCAAAGTTGGAGGTGGTGGAACCGTTTCTTCTGTTTTGGGAAAGATCTTCATCCGGGAACAAGAATCCCTTTCCTTGTCTATAAAAGCCAGACCAGAAACCGCATGCCCACAGAGACTTGCAGAGGAAAGCAGGCAGGGGCAGCAACTATGGGGAACCTTTAAGCAAAAATGCGGGTACAGAGAACGACTCTGTCCAGCAGGAAATAGTCTTAGGATCATTGGTAGCAACAGGGGGATACCTGTTTGTTTCTGGGAGGGGAGGGGCTGTGGCTCAGTGGCAGAGCATCTGCCTTGAATGCAGGAGGTCCCAGGTTCAATCCCCGGCATCTCCAGTTAAAAGGATCAGGCGGTAGGTGATGTGAAAGACCTCAGCCTGAGACTCTGGAGTCTGAGTAGACAAAACTAACCTTGATGGACCAAAGGTCTGATTCAGTGTAAGGCAGCTTCATGGGTGTGGCACCCCCTGGGGAGCAAGCAGAAGGGGCAGTGATGCCATGTAGGGACTTTGGGATGACCAAGGTGGTTTTCCAGACTCCCATGAGGCCAACCAGGAATAGGAAGGGTTTGCAAGTCTGTTCCTCCACAATCATAATCAGGGGTCATTTCCTGCGGGATCGCACAGGAGCAGAGCTCTGGCAGTAAAGAGCCCAGGGGGCAGGCACATGCAACAAGCCCCACCCCCTGCTCCCAGCAGCCTTCAGTCTGAGCAAGAAGCAGCCAGGTACCGTATTTTTCGGACCATAAGAGACGCACCTAGTTTTTAGAGGAGGAAAACAGGGAAAAAAATATTCTGAACCCTGGGGCTCAGTATTTGGTCCATAAGATGCACACTCTTTTCCCCTCACTTTTTTTGGAAGAAAAAGTGCGTCTTATGGTCCAAAAAATACGGTAAGTTGCAGAGCACCCCCCCCCCGGCTCCCCAGTCCAAAACAGTCCAGAGGCACCTTTAAGACCAAGTTTTATTCAGGTACAAGCTCTCCCTCCTCTGCGAGGACAGATCTACACGTTCCCCCCCCCCCATAGCTAACAATCCAAAACAGTCCAGTGGCACCTTTAAGACCAAGTTTTATTCAGGTACAAGCTCTCCCTCCTCTGCGAGGACAGATCTGCACGTTTCCCCCCCCCCCCCAATAGCTAGCAATCCAAAACAGTCCAGGGGAGCCTGAGCGGGGGGTGTTGCCTTCTGACACACTTCCGGTGATGTCAGGGGGTGTGGCATATGCAAATGAGTTATGCGAATGAGCCCCTGCACCTCTTTTTCTACGAAATGACCCCTGGTCACAATTAAAGAGGGGGGTGGGGGTGGCAGAGAAGAGAGCCAGGCAAGTCATTGTGATGGATTTTCTTGGGTAAGGTTATGTTGACACCTGATCTGCACTGAAGCGCAATACACCACAAATGTCTGAGCAACCTGAGGCGCCCATCTACTCTGTTGTCCTTCAAGATCCTCTCCCCAGCAACTGGTTATTACTGGGCTTCTGGGGCTCCGAAGCCATACGACGTGGCCACACGACTGCTCTTACCTGGGCAAGGGTGAGCTATTCCATCCCTTCCGATGCACCTCCAGTCGACAGGGCTCTCATGAGCTGCATTCATCTTGGGCTGCTTCCGATGGCACGTAGCCTCCCGCTGGCTCGACCAGATAACCGTAGGAGAGCCCTACCATGATCTGTAGGAGGAGAAAGGGGAGGAAGAGGAAGGGAGGCCAGAATTCAGTCCCAGAACCTATTTTTGTCATCAAGGCAAGGGTGAAGAACTAGATGGAACCCCTTCCCAGAAGACCCTCATGGGCTCAGATCACTCAGGAGTCCTCAAATCCTACCTTTCCCAGTAAACCCTTTATAGGAACTCTCCGTCCTAAACACATTTAACTGAATGGAACAGACATTCTTCCCCCCTCTCCTCAACACCTCCAGCTGGATCTCCAGCCTGAGAGCCAGTTTGGTGTAGTGGTTAAGAGCGCAGACTCTAATCTGGGAGAACCGGGTTTGATTCCCCATGCAGCTGCGGGTGTGACCTGGGGTCAGTCACAAGTTCTCTCAGAGCTGTTCTCTCAAGGGCAGTCCTCGGAAGAGCTCTCTCAGCCCCACCTGCCTCACAGGGTGTCTGTTGTAGGGAGGGGAAGGGAAAGGGATTGTAAGCTGCTCTGAGACTCCTTCGGGTAGTGAAGGGCAGGGTATAAATCCAATCTTCTTCCTCCTCCGTTGCCTCACCCAGGTTCAAATTCTGGATATAAACTTCTGTGTGCATGCACTCTTCTTTAAATTAATTGAAACAGACTTCCTCAAGCCTTACATATGGGAAGGGAGGCTAGTTGCCAGCAAGGGCTAGTTCGAATCAAGATCCGTAAGTAACTGAGAGATAAGTATAACTAAGATAGGATTAAAGCAGGTTTGGAAGCGGTGGGGGAACTAAAGGTATAGATGAATTGGCTCCCAGCCATGTCAGCCTAAGAGCGGATGGCCTCATCTGCCCTGCTGATAGGGAACTCAGAAGGCATTTAAAGTTTAAATGCCTTCTGAACTCACCAAGTCAGTGGCACAACTCAGCGAGTGAACTCAAGGCATTTAAAGTTTAAATGCCTTCTGAACGCCATTATATCCTATGGGGTATACCCCATAGGGTATAACGAAGCTGAATAAATTTGGGTTTCCCGAATATTTACCCGAATCCCAATACAATACCAATATTGGAATTCAGGAATATAACAAAAACAAGAGAGTGACATATGAAAGACTTTTAGATAAAAATGACAATTTAAAAACAGAAGAAAAACTGGCCGCGCAAAGTATCAGGCTCACGGGGTGGGAAAATATTCAATTAAAGACAAGAATCAACAAAGATAAGAAAGTAGGATTTCACAGTAGTAATAATGAAAAAGGCATTTAAACTTTAAATGCTTCTGCACGCCATTATACCCTATGGGGACAGTCCCCATAGGGTATAACGAAGTTGAATAAATTTGGCTTTTCCAAATATTTACCCAGATCCCAATACAATACCAATACTGGGATTCAGGAATACTGATATTTTTGGGGTCCAATAGGCCTGAATCGGAAATGTCCTGAATATTTTTTTTTTGCACACACCCAGTTAGAAGGATGACCTCATCTCCTGACTTATTAGCATTTCTCCCCTTCTCTGAGTGGCATTATTTCTTTAAGAAACCTAAGACTGCTGAGTTCTGTGTTCCTGGAACTGGTAGGAACAGGGCATAAAGGGGACTCTCCCTTGGCCCGGGCAATTCTGAGTTAGTTTCTTCTCCCAGACCTTCTTCTGCCACCAACATGAGATGACGCTCCCTCTTCAGGACAGGTGAAGTATGACCCAGTTCCTCCTGCTCTGTTTTCCTTCCCCAGATCTTACTTCCGCATCTTTCCCCCCCTTCCTTACCTGCTCGTAAGTTCTGACCTGCCCCACATTCCTCTGAGTCCCACCCGGCAGGTTCCTTCACCCTCTGGCATCCCTGTTGTTCCACAGTTCAGACTGGAGTTCCCTTTTCCTTCTTGCATCTTCCCATCTCCCATCCGGTCCAATCTTCCATGTGCACACACACCCCTTTTGCACATTGGACCGACCCTAGGATCTCCCCCCCCAAAAAAACCCCACTAATCTGCACACCCTTGGAGGAACAGTCCCTTCAAATGTTTTTTGCAAGCCACACCGCGAGTGAACCCGGAAGGGTGCACCTTCCGGGTTCACTCGTGCCACGGCTTGCGGGACGCACTTAAAGGAACGACCTCTTGAAATGCTGAGCTAAAAAATTCGGCAATCCCAATTATTTCCCAAATCCCAATATCATACCAATATTGGATTCGGGAATATCAGGAAATACTGGTACTTGGGGGGTTCAATACACCCGAACCTGAAAAATATAGATTTATCTTTTCGTGCACACTCCTACAATGCATATTGTAATTACCTTGATTAGAGCAGAGGGGAAATCCTGGGGGGGGGGGAGGCCAGGAAAATTAGAATCTGAGGTGAGATAAGACTCCCATGTCCCTACTCAGCCCCGGAGGGGGGGGTCCATTGTTCTGAACTTAGTTTCAGAGGGCAGTCCTGTTGATCTGCGGTAGAAGGGCAGTGGGGGTTCAGGACAGACAAAAGGAAATACTGTTTTACACAGAGAGTGATTCAAATATGATGCAGTGGTAGCCACAGAAATAAAGAGGTTTAAAAGAGGCTGAGATAGATTCATGGAGAACAAGTCTATCAGTGGCTACCACTGGTTCCAGAGGAACTGGTTGGCCACTGTGTGAGACAGGAGGCTGGACTAGAAGGACCATTGGTCTGATCCAGCAGGGCTCTTCTGATGTTCTTATGAAGGCCTCTATGCCTTGTTATTGGCCATCCAGAGGAACTGGTTGGCCACTGTGTGAGAAGGGATGCTGGACTAGAACTATTGGTCTGATCCAGCAGGGCTCTTCTGATGTTCTTATGAAGGCCTCGGCCTCTGTGCTGTTGCTGGCCCTCCAGAGGAACTGGTTGGCCACTGTGTGAGACAGGATGCTGGACTAGAGGGACCACTGGTCTGATCCAGCAGGGCTCTTCTGATATTCTTAGGAAGGCCTCGACCTCTCTGCCCTGCTGTTGGCCCTCCAGAGGAGCTGGTTGGCTGCTGTGCGAGACAGGATGCTGGACTAGATGGACCACTGGTCTGATCCAGCATGGCTCTTCTGGTGTTCTTATGAAGACTTCAGCCTCTCTGCCCTGTTGTTGGCCCTCCGGAGGATCTGGTTGGCCACTGTGTGAGACAGGATGCTGGACTAGAGGGACCACTGGTCTGATCCAGCAGGGCTCTTCTGATGTTCTTATGAAGATTTCAGCCCCTCTGCCCTGTTGTTGGCACTCCAGAGGAACTGGTAGGCCACTGTGTGAGACAGGATGCTGGACTAGAGGGACCACTGGTCTGATCCAGCAGGGCTCCTCTGATGTTCTTCTGAAGGCCTTGGCCTCTATGCCCTGTTGTTGGCCCTCTAGAGGAGCTGGTTGGCCACTCTGTGAGACAGGATGCTGGACTAGAGGGACCTGATCCAGCAGGGCTCTTCTGATGTTCTTAGGAAGGCCTCAGCCTCTCTGCCCTGCTGTTGGCCATCTAGAAGAACTGGCTGGCCACTGAGTGAGACAGGATGCTGGACTAGATGGACCACTGGTCTGATCCAGCAGGGCTCTTCTGATGTTCTTATGAAGGCCTCGGCCTCTCTGCCCTTTTGCTGGCCATCTAGAAGAACTGGCTGACCACTGAGTGAGATAGGATGCTGGACTAGATGGGACTACTGGTCTGATTTGGCAGGACTCTTAACGTTCTTAAGATTTAGAGTCAAGTCCAGTAGCACCTTAGAGACCAACACGATTTTGGGGGGTATAAGCTTCCAAGAGCCAAAGCTCAGTGCTATCTGATGAAGTTTTGAGAGCTTATACCCAAAAAATCGTGTTGGGTTTCTACGCCGCTACATGACTCAGAACTAGCACCTATGGAAACATCTTTGGGTAAACTCTCAGGGTAACACAACACTAGGAATTCATGACTGACAACGGCTACTGTTTATGAATGAACGCCTTGTTGTACTTGAATGAATCGCTTGCTGTGACACTGCTGAGAAGCGTCCTTGCAAGGACAGCCATGCCTTTCAAATCGCTTTGAACCCGCCTCTTTATTTCCCAGCTTTCTCCACTTCTATTCTGTACCTTTGGTTGGATCGATAAAGACAGAATTGGTTCAGCGCCTGTCTCTTCCCCTCTCGGTCTCCTTCTGGGGGGAATATTAAACCTCAGCAGAATCTGCATATAGGTTAGAAGGTTCCTTTTACCATATGTGGTGGACTTGTGACAAAGCTGTGAATTTTTGGACGGAGGTCCATAATGAAATGCAGAAAATTTCGAAATGTACTTTTAGAAAAGAACCAGAAATACTACTTCTGGGTCTTAAAATGGAAGAAGTGAATGTGGCAAAGAGAACATTGATATGGTATCTGATTTCAACGGCTAGAATGATTTATGCTCAACGTTGGAAGCAAGAAAGAATACCCGAGTTATGGGAATGGATAAGGAAGTTGCTTTTTTATGGCAGAAATGGACAAAATGACAAGGGAACTAAATAACAAAGAAGATGAAGGATTTTTCGCAGACTGGAAGGACTTCAAAGATTATTTAGAGAAACACTGGGATGTTAAGAATAATTTGTTTTGCTTTAATAATAATTAAGAATTAGATTACAGATATGTTGGAAAGAAGACAACTATAGAAAATGTTACCTATGAGGTTGAAAAATACGAAAAAGGTTGCAAAAGAAACTGAGAACTTTTAAGTATGGTTTAAGAGGAGGGATAGAACCAGAGAATGGGACGTGGTGGGGGTGGGAGCGCTGCGGGACGCGTGAAGCAGGGGAGGGAGGGTGATAGGGAAAAGGGATATATTATGAATGGTGAAATGGTTAAATATTGGACTTGTTATATCCTGATAATAAAATTGTTTTTAAAAAAAAGAATCTGCACATAGGCAACTGTAAAAGATCCCCGGAGCCAAGGGTGGGGCCGCTGACACGTCTATGACATGAGTCTCTTTTTCTGATAACAGTGCAGATGCAGCCTCAACGTGGGAAGGTGAAGCCACTCTGGACGTGGCCAGAAACTACAAACCACGCACCCCCTCCTGCTACTCTTCAAGGCCTCTTCCCTTCCGCCTTGTCATTCAACTTTCCAGGGCTCTTTTTGTAGAAAAAGCCCAGCAGGAACTCATTAGCATAATAGGCCACACCCAACAGCAGGAACTCATTAGCATATTAGGCCACACCCCTGACAGCTCATTGGCACATTAGGCTGCACCCCCATGTTACCAGAAGTGTGGTTATCCAGCCACACCCACCTTTTGCTTGTTATTCTGTTTACCTTCTTTGTTGTCAAAACCCAGGGCCTTTTTTGTAGCAGGAACTCCTTTGCATGTTAGGCCACACACCCCTAATGTAGCCAATCCTAATGAGTGTCTGCTGTTGGGTGTGGCCTGTTATGCTAATGAGTTCCTGCTGGGCGTGGCCAACTCGGGAGCCAGCCGGAACTCCATTCCTGTGCGTTCCTGCCCAAAAATAGCCCTGCATCTTTCCCAAAAGGGCTTCTCCCGCCGCCGGCAACTCACCATCAATAGGGTCAGCAGCACCATCATGGCTCCTAACATGATGTACAGGTTCTCCGTCAAACTGCCCGCCCACAGCGGTCCCAGGATTGTTGCGATCCCCCCTACGGAGCGCCGGAGGCCTTGGCTGAACCCTGCAGGGGAAAGGGGTGGCAAAAGTGTTACAGGGATGCTTCATCACCCCCCGTGGCGGTCAAGTGCCTCCCACGGGGCTGGCCCGTCAGTCCCAGGGAACAGTTCTTTGCAGTGACAGAGGCTTGCAAAATCATGCATGGGGTAGGGAAGGTAGAGAGAGAAGTCCTTTTCTCCCTTTCTCACAATACGAGGACTCGTGGGCACTCCGTGGAATTAAGGAAGTGGTGGTGGCTACAAGCATGGACGGCTTCAAGAGGGAATTAGATAAACATCTGGAGCAGAGGTCCATCAGTGGCTATTAGCCACCAGGTATAGATGGAACACTCTGTCTGGGGCAGTGATGCTCTGGATTCTTGGTGCTTGGGGGCTGCTGTACCTTCCGACATTCCTATAGTCCTACCACCTTCTGATAATACAGTCTGGTCCACCTGGTCATTTTGGCCTCCCGAGACGGGACGTGGCCACTGTTCCCTCTAATTGTTTCCAAGGAAGAAGAGAAAGAGGAAGAAATTGGGATTTATAACCCGCCCTTCACTTGGAGTCTCAGAGCGGTTTACAAACTCCTTTCCCTTCCCCTCCCCACAACAGACACCCTGTGAGGTAGGTGGGGCTGAGAGAGCTTTGACAGAAATTGCTCTTTTTCAAGAACAGCTGTTATCAGAACTATGGCTTGCCCAAGGTCATCCAGCCAGGTGCAAGTGGAGAAGTGGGGAATCAAACCCGGTTCTCCCAAATTAGAGTCCACGCACTTAACCACTACACCAAACTGGAAGAAGAAGGGGGAGGAGAGGGAGGAGGAGGAAGAGGAAGAAGAAGAAGAGATTGGATTTATCCCCCGCCCTTCACTACCCAAGGGAGTCTCAGAGCAGCTTACAAACTCCTTTCTCTTCCCCTCCCCACAACAGACACCCTGTGAGGTAGGTGGGGCTGAGAGAGCTTTGACAGAAATTGCTCTTTTTCAAGAACAGCTGTTATCAGAACTATGGCTTGCCCAAGGTCATCCAGCCAGGTGCAAGTGGAGAAGTGGGGAATCAAACCCGGTTCTCCCAGATTAGAGTCCGCGCACTTAACCACTACACCAAACTGGAAGAAGAAGGGGGAGGAGAGGGAGGAGGAGGAAGAGGAAGAAGAAGAAGAGATTGGATTTATACCCCGCCCTTCATTTGGAGTCTCAGAGTGGCTTACAAACTCCCATCTCTTCCCCTCCCCACAACAGACACCCTGTGAGGTAGGTGGGGCTGAGAGAGCTTTGACAGAAATTGCTCTTTTTCAAGAACAGCTGTTATCAGAACTATGGCTTGCCCAAGGTCATCCAGCCAGGTGCAAGTGGAGAAGTGGGGAATCAAACCCGGTTCTCCCAGATTAGAGTCCGCGCACTTAACCACTACACCAAACTGGCTCTACACCAAACTGACTTACTGAGTGGAGCAGTTTCACATCCTGAGCAGAATGTAACCGCTCTCATCTTAAAATGGGCCATGGGTAGTGCCAGGCCCTGCCCGGCTCCAGAATGCTGCTGAGTGGGGCTTCCCGTGTGAATGCGCGGCTGCTAACGCACACAGCTTTGAGGGAACACTGGGCCACGCCACGGTCTTTTGCCTCTCGGAAGCCGTTGGACACAGACACAGGAGATCAGGCCCGCCAAGCAATCCAACGCTGCCGGAAAGCCAAGCTGTGCATTCAGCAAAGCCTGGCAGTAACCGGACCCAGGGGAGTACAGCCAGATCGGGAAGAGAACACACTGACCCGAGACACAGAAATCCGGGTGGAAATAAGACACTGCTCCCTGCCGTAGCCGCTACCGAGAAAAAAGAAGGAACGAAAGCGCTGCTAAGTTTATTCTGAGGTGGCACGTAGACAACCTGTGCTGCGCCAGCTACACTGGCTTCCAGTGGAGTACCGAGTCGAGTTCAAGACTTTGGTGTTGACCTTTAAGGCCTTGAGCGGTCAGGGACCAACGTATCCGTGGGATCGTCCCCTCCGGTATGTCCCCCGGAGAGCACTACGCTCCTGCTGGTGATCCCAGGCCCCAAAGACATCCAGCTGTCCTCGACCAGGGCCTTTTCAGCCCTGGCCCCAACCTGGCGGAACTCTCTGCCATCGGGGCCCTGTGGAACCTTACGCAATTCTGCAGGGCCCGTAAGGCAGGGAGGCCCTCAGTCACTGAGGGGGCCCAACATCGCTTAGTGATCCCAGGCCACAGGGAAGCCAGGCTTGCGGCCACCAGGGCCAAGGCAGGCCCGTAGCTAACGCGGGGCCCATGGGGCCCGGCCCCCTAGAAGTTTTTATGGGCCCCCTTCCTGAGCCTTGGCTCCCCTACCTCAGCTCCCCCTGATTGCCTGGCAGCCTGTTGGCAGGGAGGACAAGGGCAGTGATTTCAGAGGCTGTCCCTGGTGCTGTGCTGTGGGAAGAGGCACTGGGGCTCCTTGGGAGGGAAGCTGGACCCAGAGGCTGTGGCTGCTGCAGCCCTTGCCCTGGAGCCTTTGATTGGATTAGCAGGTGACCCCCCCCCCAGGCCCCCTCCCTAAAAAGTCCTTAGCTACGGGGCTGGGCCAAGGCCTTTTCAGTGGTGGCTCCTACGTGGTGGAATGAGCTCCCAGAGGAGATCAGGGCCCTGTGGGACCTCCCACAGTTCCGCAGGGCCTGCAAGACGGAGCTCTTCCGCCAGGCTTTTAATTAGGAGCCGCCACTACCAACACCACCGACTATTTGGTTGTAACAACGGGGTGATGGGATGGGCCCAGTATAAAGATCTCGCTACCAGTGTTCCCTCTAAGCTGAGTTAGGGTGAGTTGGCTCACAGTTTTTTAGCCTCCAGCTCACAGATTTTTGTCTTAGTTCAGGAAGGAATGCTCCAGAGCAAAGTAAATTATACATTAGCCAAATCGCTCGCTCACAACTTTAATGCCAGTGGCTCACGAAGTGGAATTTTTGCTCACAAGACCACACAGTTTAGAGGGAACATTGACGCTACACTATTGCCATGGGGTCGGGGCCGTTGAAGCGGGCTTTTGGGTACATCTACAGGTCACCATCTGATTCGATTGATTTGCTCAAATTGGTAACATCATTGAGCCCTTTGTTAAATATGGTTGATTTTATGCTGTTTTTAATGTTTTATTTGGCACATGTTGCCCTTATTTGTAAGCTGCCCTGAGCCCGCCCGTGGGGAGGGCGGGATATAAGTGTAATAAATAAATAATTTCAATAAGGGTTTAAATATATGACAAGACCACTCCTATATTTTCCCTCAAGTTCCTGTGCTGGGTCAGAAGCCTAAACTAATATCTGTGATGGGGTGGGACAGTTAAAGCTTATAAAATAAAGAAGAAATACACACCACTGAAAGGCAGCTCAGCCACTGAGGGGAACTAAAAATATTTTTGGCGGGAAAATCTGCCGGGGAGTGGGGTCTGCCGTACCCCTCTTTCGAAAAGCAGCATTCCAAACCTGCGGCCTGAAACGGTTTAGTCCATTCTACCCTTTCAGAATTCAGCTTCTTTTTGCCTGCTGCCTGTGTAGACCAGGTCACCATCTAGAGACCGAATAGGGATGCCGACATCCAGGTGGGACCTGGGGATCCCCCAGGAACTACAGCTCACCTCCAGACTACAAAGGTGAGTTCCCCTGGAGGAACCGGATGCTTTGGAGGGTGGACTCTATGGCACTGTACCCCACCTGAGGTCACTATCCCCGGGCTCCATCCCTAAATCTCCAGGAGTTTCCCAACCTGGATAAGAAACATAAGAGATGCCAATGTTGGATCAGGCCAAAGGCCCATCCAGTCCAACACTCTGTATCACACAGTGGCCAGAAATACCAGTGCCATCAGGAGGTCCACCAGTGGGGCCAGGACATTAGAAGCCCTCCCACTGTTGACCCCTCCCCCAAGCACCAAGAAGACAGAGCATCACTTGCCCCAGCCTGAGAGTCCCTATCTATCCCTTGTGGCTGATAGCCACGGATGGACCTCTGCTCCATATGCTTATCTAATTCCCTTTTGAAGCCGTCCATGCTTGTAGCCGCCACCACTTCCTGTGGCAGTGAATTCCATGTGTTAATCACTCTTTGGGTGAAGAAGTACTTCCTCTTATCTGTTCTAACCCGACCACTCAGCAATTTCATTGAGTGCCCACGAGTTCTTGTACTGTGAGAAACGGAGAAGAGTCCTTCTTTCCCTCCCTGCTCTATCCCAGGCATAACCTTGTAAACCTCAATCATGTCACCCCTCAGCCGTCGTTTCTCCAAGCGAAAGAGCCCCACTCTACCCCGCATCCCCTGCCACTGGCCCGGGGGACCTGGCAACCCTAAGACCGAAACAAAGAAGGTATCCATCTCAGGAATTCAAGCACGGTGCCAGTAAGTTTACCAAGAGAACCCTCAAGACTTGCACGGCAGGAGGTGCCCAAAGCTGGAGGAAACTCCAACAAAGGGAAGGAAGAAGTAGAAGTAAAGCAAGACTTATCTTATTTTACATGTAGTTACAACCGCTAGAATATTATATGCTAAATACTGGAGAAGAAAGGAGACGCTTTCCAAAGAAGAAATAATAACCAAACCACTTGAAACTGCTGAAATGGATAAATTAACTTTAATTTTTGAAAGGACATAAAGAGGAGGATTTTGAAAATACATGGTGAAAACTTCACAGACGGATTGAAGAATACGTTAAATGAAGCCAGAACATAACTGGAATAATGGACAATGAGAGTATCTATAATAAAATGTGCAAAGGTTTTATTTCTTTATTTATTTATTTGGGATTTGTATCCCGCCCTACCCAAATGGCTCAGGGCGGGTGACAAGCGGCAATGCCGAATAAAAACAATAAAACAATGTTATATACATAATAAAATTTGGTGCTCTACTATTCTACATTAAGTCCCCCTAGATATGCAACATCCCACATTGACGGCCAGTTTTATTAAATGGCGTGAGCGCCAGGAGTGATATTTTTCCCATCTCTGCCAGGGCGGCATCTACCCCCCCACCCAGTAATAGGGGTAGATGATAAGATGGTATCTCAGTGGTGGAATAGTGGCAGCGGCGGCTCCTACTCAAAAGCCTGGTGGAAGAGCTCCGTCTTGCAGGCCCTGCAGAACTGTATAAGGTCCCGCAAGCCCCGGATCTCTTCCGGGAGCTCGTTCCACCAGGTAGGAGCCGCCACCAAAAACGCCCTAGCCTTAGTTTGGGCAAACTTCACGTCTCGGGGGCCTGGGACTTCCAGGAGGTGGAGACGGGGTCCCCGATCGTTATAGATAACATTATAAAATGTAGAAATATACTTTTACTGAGAGATGTATGGATAACCTAACAGATAATTCAAAGAGCTGGAGAGATTCTCCCATTGTATGTTTGTGTGTATTATCGTTTGGTTTTGTTTGACTTTGTTCGTTCGTTATAAAAATAAAAATTATTTACAAAAAGAAAGAAAGATAGAAGCCGAGCTGACGGGTTGGGGAGGCGCCGCGAGCAGGCTTACCTTGCGTCCTCTCTGCCGTGACCTTGGAAAAGAGCGACACCTGGGAGACGGCGACAAAGGGCAGGCCCAAGACTTGCAGGAAGACGCCCACCACCAGCTCCGCGAGGAGCCAAGCAAAGCTGCCTGTGGGTGACAAGGAACACAGGAACATAAGGCATGAAGCCGCCTTATACTGAATCAGACCCTCGGTCCACCAAGGTCAGTGTTGTCTACTCAGACGGGCAGCAGCTCTCCAGGGTCTCAGGCAGAGAACCAGGAAGAGAGGATGGATGGAGAAGACCTTCTTGGAGGCCACCTGGCAGTTGAACACCCAATGCTCACAGCAGGAGTGGAAAGACCTCCTGCGCGGATCGGATGCCGCAGACGGAGCTTTCAGTTCGGCACCCAAATATTAACCAGCCCGCAGGCAAGAGTGACAAACGATACAAGCAATGTGGCAAGCTTGTGGCATTTGACATTCGGCAGGAGCGAGCCGCAGAGGCTAGATGTAACCTGCAGATTCTTCTAATGTTGTTCGTTAATGCATCTCAAACAAATTATTTTATATCTTGACTCAAGATGGGTAGCCGTGCTAGCCTGTCTGTAGCAGTAGAAAAGAGCAAGAGTCCAGGAGCACCTTAAAGATTAACAAACATTTGCGGCAGGGTAGGAGATTTGAGTCACTGCTCAAAGAGCAAGAGCCGAGTAGTACCTTAAAGACTAACAACATTTGCGGCAGCGTATGAGCTTTCGTGAGTCACCACTCAAAGAGCAAGAGCCGAGTAGTACCTTAAAGACTAACAACATTTGCGGCAGCGTCTGAGCTTTCGTGAGTCATTGCTCAAAGAGCAAGAGCCGAGTAGTACCTTAAAGACTAACAACATTTGCAGCAGGGTAGGAGCTTTCGTGAGTCACTGCTCAAAGAGAAAGAACCGAGTAGTACCTTAAAGACTAACAACATTTGCGGCAGGGTATGAGCTTTTGTGAGTCACCGCTCAAAGAGCAAGAGCCGAGTAGTACCTTAAAGACTAACAACATTTGCGGCAGGGTATGAGCTTTCGTGAGTCACTGCTCAAAGAGCAAGAGCCGAGTAGTACCTTAAAGGCTAACAACATTTGCGGCAGGCTGCGCACAACCTCGAATAAAATTTTATGGATCTTAAAGGTGCCACTGGACTCCAAATTTGTTCCAGAAACTTTTGTTGATTGTGAAAAGGTGAAGGAGTTACACTAAGCTTTGATAATACAAAGACATAGTTATCATCACTGTTCCCTCTGAGCTGAGTTAGTGTGAGCCAGCTCACAGTTCTTTAGCCTCCGGCGCACACACTTGTGTCTCCGTTCAGGAAGGATGGCTCCAGAGCAAACTAACTGATGCAGCAGCCAGATCGCTCACTCACAACTTTAATGCCGGTAGCTCACAAAGTAGGATTTTTGCTCACGAGACTCCACAGCTTAGAGGGAGCATTGGTTATCAGATCACGGTTGTATTTCGTTCTTTACCACCTGGAGGCTGGCAAGCTTACCAGCAAGGCAGTTCTTACATTCTCGGCATTTATTCCACCAGCGGGATTTCCTAAGGGCAGAATGGGCCTCCAAGGACGGAGTCCACTAAACGCAGGAACTGTGTGGCGAGCACAACTTCAAGAGCCTGTTTACTCAGAGAAGGGGAGCAGATCAGGGGAGTGAGAGATGCCCCCCCTTGTTACCTTGGGGTCGGGCAAGGAAGACCAAACACCAGATGCAGGCCACGTTGCAGATGACCAGGCCGACCACCAGGATGACGCGGTCCTTCAAGCGGGCACTGAGGCAGCGGACCAGGAAGAAGCCGCAAATGACCTGGAGGGTGACGAGAGAAGGGCGAGGACTCAGCCACGCCACGCAAACCGGCAGGCGTCATCACACCGAATATACGGAGTCACACGTTCCGGTGTGTGGCTTACACAGGTAGCAGTATTTAGTTTCTGAGAGCAGAGTTTTTAAATAAAGGAGACAGATGACTTGCCCTGGCCCGGGGGACCCAGGCAAGCCCCATCTCAGCTAAGCAGGGTTGTCCCCGGTTAGTACTTGGCCGGGAGACAGCCAAGAAAGTCCGTGGCCGCTACACAGAGGCAGGCAAGGGCAAACGGTTTGCCTCTAGACTTGGAAATCATACGGGGTCGTCATCATCGTCAGAGATTGGATTTATACCCCACCCCTCACTACCTGAAGGAGTCTCAGAGTGGTTTACAATCTCCTTTCCCTCCCCCTGCCCACAACAGACACCCTGTGAGGTAGGTGGGGCTGAGAGAGCTCTCTTGAGAACTGCCCGTGAGAGAACAGCTCTGAGAGAACTTGTGACTGACCCAAGGCCACCCCAGCAGCTGCATGTGGAGGAGTGGGGAATCACACCCAGTTCTCCCAGATTAGAGTCCACACTCCTAAACAATACACTGTAGTTATTGACGGCCCTTTCTATCACCATCATATATTCTACTGGCTCTTCTAAAAACCACCAATAAGATAAGAGAAGCCAATGCTGGGATGGGCCAGTGGCCCATCCAGTCCAACACTCTCTGTCACACAGTGGCCAAACATACCAGGCGCCATCAGGAGGGCCAGGACACTAGAAGCCCTCCCACTGTTGCCCCCACCCCAAGCACCAAGAATACAGAGCATCACTTGCCCCAGACTGAGAGTTCCTAACTATCCCTTGTGTTGTTGTTCAGTCACACAGTCGAGTCCGACTCTTCACGACCCCATGGACCACATCACGCCAGGTCCTCCCGTCTTCCGTCATGTTCCGGGGCCTGCTTAATTTCATGTTCGTTGCATCGAGAACACTGTCTAGCCATCTCATCCCTTCTTCTTTGACCTTCAGTCTTTCCCAGCATCAGGGTCTTCTCCAGCGAGAGCTCCCTTCTCATTTGGGGGCCAAAGTATTTGAGCTTCAGCTTCAGTCTCTGGCCTTCCAGGGAACAGTCAGGGTTGATTTCCTTTAGGACTGACTGATTTGATCTCCTTGCAGTCCAGGGGACTCTCAAGAGTCTTCTCCAGCACCATAATTCGAAAGCATCTATTCTTCGGCGCTCGGCCTTCCTTAGGGTCCAGCTCTCGCAGCCCACCCTCCACAGCCCGAGGGTCGTGTACGGGACAGGTCCTTACCTCCACACCGCAGAGGAAGTACATGAGGCTGTTCTCCAGCTCCCCAAAGTTCAAGTAGCGCTGGGTGATGGGTGTCACCATGGTCTAAAGAGAGAAACAGCACAAGAGTATTTATCATGGGGGGGAAACCCCAGGGTATACCCACCGCCAATGCTCCCTCTAAGCTGTGGAGTCTTGTGAGCAAAAATTCTACTTAATGAGTTGCTAGCATTAAAGTTGTGAGCGAGCAATCTGGCTCCTGCATAAATTAGTTTGCTCTGGAGCCATCCTTCCTGAGCCCTTCACTACCCGCAGGAGTCTCAGAGCAGCTTACAATCTTCTTTCCCTTGCCCTCCCCACAACAGACACCCTGTGAGGTAGGTGGGGCTGAGAGAGCTCTCTCAAGAACTGCTCCCGAGAGAACAGCTCTGAGAGGACTTGTGACTGACCCAAGGTTACACCAGCAGCTGCATGTGGAGGTGTGGGGAATCAAACCTGGTTCTCCCAGATTAGAGACCTTGCTCCTAACCACTACATCAAACTGGCTCTTCCATTGAGATGGAAGTTAGCAGTCCATACAAGTAGGTAGAGAGTAAGCAGCAAATCAGCATACAGCATAACCTTTAGGTGTTAAACAGATGCAAGGACCAAACTGGAATCACAAGTTTAGTTTGTGTGGTTATTCCAGTTTGGTCCTTGCATCTGTCAAACAACTTTATTATGCTGTATGCTAATTTCCTGCTCACCTTCTACCAGTGCTCCCTCTAAGCTGTGGAGTCTTGTGAGCAAAAATTCTCCGTTGTGACCTACTGGCATCAAAGTGGTGAGCTAGCAGTTTAGCTTCTACACAGATTAGTTTTCTCTGGGGCCATCCTTCCTGAGCTAAGACAAAAAGGTGTGAGTCGGAGGCTAAGAAACTGTGAGCTAGCTCACACTCACTCAGCTTAGGGGGAACACTGCCCCCCACATGATCAGTGCAACATGAGCACAAAAGGCAGCTGGACCACGGCATGGCACGTACCCACTCAGGAATAAGAGTATGAGATCCGTTCTGCATGGGGGAAGAGGGAACAGAGGGAGTTAATGCTACCATGCTCCTGTCTCCCTGATCTCTACAGGCACGCTCATTCCTTCCTTTTGCACGAAAGTCAAAGTGTGCGTGGGCTCAGATCTGACAAAGAAGACTCCTCCACCTTCAGAAAAATCGTCCAGTAAGGCTAGAGCAGGGGTGGCCAAACTGCGGCTTGGGAGCCACATGCGGGTCTTTCACACATATTGTGCGGCTCCCAACAGGACGGCTGGGGAAGTGAAGGGGAGGCATGCTTTCCCTCCCTCCCTCCCATCTATTTGCTTTCTTTGTTTCTCTCTCTCTCGCCTTTTCTTTCCACCTCTTTCCTTCTTTCTTTCCACCTCTCTCTCTCTCGCGCTTTTTCTTTCCACCTCTTTCCTTCTTTCTTTCCACCTCTCTCTCTCTCTCGCTCTTTCTTTCCACCACTTTCCTTCTTTCTTTCCACCTCTCTCTCTCTCTCTTTCTTTCCACCTCTTTCCTTCTTTCTTTCCACCTCTCTCTCTCTCTCTCTCTTTCTTTCCACCTCTTTCCTTCTTTCTTTCCACCTCTCTCTCTCTCACTCGCTTTTTCTTTCCACCTCTTTCCTTCTTTCTTTCCACCTCTCTCTTGCTTTTTCTTTCCACCTCTTTCCTTCTTTCTTTTCACCTCTCTCTCTCTCTCGCTCTTTCTTTCCACCTCTTTCCTTCTTTCTTTCCACCTCTCTCTCGCTTTTTCTTTCCACCTCTTTCCTTCTTTCTTTCCACCTCTCTCTCTCTTGCTCGCTCTTTCTTTCCACCTCTTTCCTTCTTTCTTTCCACCTCTCTCTCTGACAAATAAATATCATTAGCAAACAAATGAATATCATTGGACAAATAAATATCATTATCAATATCTGTATTTACCCCCTTTGTTTTTATATTTGGCAGGCGCATTTAATGTTAATAAAAAGCAAATGTGCATATTTTAAAAAATAAAAATGTATGTGTGATATTTGCTTCTGTCTTGCAGCTCGCAAACATCTGACGTTTATTCTATGTGGCTCTTACCCTGAGCAAGTTTGGCCGCCCCTGGGCTAGAGGAAGACAAGGAAGATCAGGGTCCAGGCGACCCTGTGACTTCCAGGCACAGACAGGAAGTGATGTCAAGTTGTACGCCATAGTGTGGTGTCCCTCCAAGCCGCCCCCCCCCAAAGGCTCCCGCTGGTTGCCAGCACTGAGCAGAAACCTGCGTGGCAATTGTGTACTTGAAATATTTACATCCTGCATTATCTTCGCCAACTCAAGGATGCTAACGAGGACAAAGATAGTCCAATGAACCAAATTAAGAACATGTTTAAAAGGCATTCTTGTTTGGGAGGAGACGGAGCTCTGTGTGCAAACTCCTATATTTGTGTGCAAACACCTAACACGAGAGGCAGTGTAGTGGTTAAGTGCACGGACTCTAATCTGGGAGAACCGGGTTTGATTCCCCACCCCTCCACTTGCACCTGCTGGATGATCCTGGGCAAGCCGTAGTTCTGTCAAGAGCTGTCCTTGAAAAAGAGCAGTTTCTGTCAGAGCTCTCTCAGCCCCACCAACCTCACAGGGTGCCTGTTGTGGGGAGGGGAAGGGAAAGGAGTTTGTAAGCCGCTCTGAGACTCCTTTGGGTAGTGAAGGGCAGGGTATAAATCCAATCTCTTCTTCTTCTCCTATTTTATCAATTTTTATCTTATTTTATTTATTGCAATTATATCCCGCCCTATCCGATGATGGGCTCAGGTTGCCTCGCGCCAGAAACAAAATACACTGAATATATAATTAAGAACCTGTTCAACAAAACAAGATGGCAGCTAAGAAACTTAGCATAACCAGGGGTCATTTCCTGTGGAAGCGCACAGGAGCGAAGTTCCGGCAGTAAGGAGCTCAGGGGGCAGGCACATGCAACAAGCCCCGCCCCCTGCTCCCAGCAGCACTCAGTTGGGCCATGAGGAGCAAGAAGCAGAGCCCCGCCCCCCGCCTTCAGGTACAAACTGTCCCTCCTCTGTGAGGGCAGACCTGCATGTTCCCCCCCCCCCCCCTGTTTGAACACCCAAAAACGACCGCGGGTGAGCCTGAGTGGTGGGTGTTGCCTTCTGACACGCTTCCGGTGATGCCAGAGGGTGTGGCGTATGCAAATAAGTGATGCTAATATTTTATGCTAATGAGCTCCTGCACCTCTTTTTCTACGAAATGACCCCTGAGCATAACATTACTCCAGAGCAGCCCAATACGCTTCCTGTCAGACGTCAGACCTACCTCCAGGGCCGTTTGATTGAAGAGGGTGATGAACTGGGCCGTGAGCAGAACCACCACTTCCTCCCTCAAGTACTCTGGAAGGACAGAACAGAGCTCATCAAGTCCCGCAATGCCGAAGCAGAGGGCAAAATGGCTGGCCCCACCTGCCCCCATCCAACTAAAAGGGAGACTGGAACCAAGGAGTCGGAATTTGCTGATCTGTTAGCAGCTGCGGTGGCTCAAGTGGTTAAGACGCTGAACTGCAGGCTGTGGAAGCTCAGCAGTTTGAGACCCAGGTGCTGCAAGACGGAGTGAGCTCCCGTCTCTAGTTCCAGCTCCTGCCAACCTAGCAGTTCGAAAGCAAGAAATTGCAAGTAGATAAGTAGGTACCACTTCAGTGCGAAGGTAACAGTGTTCCGAGCGCCTTGGTGTTTAGTCATGCCGGCCACATGACCACGGAAACGTCTTCGGACGGCGCTGGCTCTTCAGCTTTGAAACGGAGATGAGCACCGCAACCCTAGAGTCGGATTCAACTGGCTTTCGAGCAAGGGAACCTTTACCTTTACCTTCAGCAGCTGTTAGCAGCTTCCACTGTGGACGGCAGGTTTCCCCCTACAAAATACGTCAAGCTGCAGGCCCGCTTTGTAAAAACTTTTAGTGGCTTCCCATTCGAAAGAACTGATGTGGAAAAGCTTAACAGGTTTGTTTTTTTACTCGTGGAGAGAAGTGTCTTTTAGGACGTAACGAGGGACGTAGTCCATCCAGGACCTCGTCACCTATTCACACAGATCTGGAAAAGTTCCCCTGAACATTTTCTTCTCTCCCTTGCTCGATCCCTGGTTTATACTCTTTCGACAAGAGTTGGTCGTTGTTTTTCATTGTATGATACGCTGGGCTAAGATAATTCAAATGCACACTAGGATGAGTTGAACTTAACAGCTGTATTTGTATGTACATTTACTGTTGAGCATTGTTAGTTCCAGGGCTATTTTTGGGCAGGAACGCACAGGAACGGAGTCCCGGCTGGCTCCCAAGTTGGCCACGCCTAGCAGGAACTCATTAACATAATAGGCCACACCCAACAGCAGAAACTCATTAGGACTGGCTACAATTAGGGGGTGTGGCCTAGCATACAAAGGAGTTCCAGCTCCAAACAAAAAGCCCTGGGTTTTGACAACAACCAAGGTAAAGAGAATAAGAAGCAAAAGGTGGGCGTGGCTGGATGACCACACTTCTGGTAACATGGGGGTGTGGCCTAATATGTGAATGAGCTGTGCTTTCAGGGGTGTGGCCTAATATGCGAATGAGTTCCTGCTGTTGGGTGTGGCCTATTATGCTAATGAGTTCCTGCTGGGCTTTTTCTACCAAAAAAAGCCCTGGTTAGTTCCTTATGTAAGCTTCAGAGGACGGACTCTAAAGCATCACCAACCAGACTGAGCTCCGTCCCCTCTCCAAGTACCACCCCTACGTTTCCAGGAACCTCCCAAGCTGGAACCAGCAACCCGATCAGATCTTTGATACCGTGGTGTTCAGGCTGCTGTAGGCATTGCTAAAGCTTGAACACGTATGAAGCTGCCTTACACAGAATCAGGCCCTTGGGCTATCAAACTCAGTCTTGTCTACTCGGACTGGCAGCGGCTCTCCACGGTCTCAGGCAAGGGTTGCCAACTCCAGGTTGGGAAATATCTGAAGGTTTTGGGGGTGGAGCCTGGGGAGGGTGGGGCTTGGGGAGGGGAGGGACCTCAACAGGGCACAATGCCATAGAGTCCACCTTCCAAAGCAGCCATTTTCTCCAGGGGAACCGATCTGTCATAGAATCACAGTATCATAGAGTCCGAAGGGACCTCCAGGGGTCATCTAATCCAACCCCCTGCACAAAGAAGGAAATTCACAAATACCTCCCCTCACACAAGCATGGCCCAGAGGATGCCCAGAAGATGACAAAAAACCTCCAGGATCTCCAGCCAAACTGACCTGGAAAACAGTTGCTTCCTGACCCCCAAAGTGGCGATCGGCATTTCCCTGGGCGTGTAAGAAAGGGCCACAGGAACTAAGCCCTGAGGCAGCCCTTCCTGCCCTCCCTTCTCATGATCTGCCTCAGTTCACAGAATCAGCATGGCCGTCCGATGGCCCTCTAGCTTCTGCTTGAAAACCTCCAAAGGAGGAGAGCCCACCACCTCCCAAGGAAGCCTGTTCCACCGAGGAACCACTCTGTCAGGAAGTTCTTTCTCACGTTTAGCCGAAAACTCTTCTGATTTAATTTCAGCCCATTGGTCCTGGACCAACCTTCTGGGGCAACAGGAAAAAACTCTGTTTGATGATGGGGATCGAACCTGGGACCTTCTGCTTACGAAGCAGATGGTCTTCCATTGAAGCCCAGCCCCTCCCCTCAAGTTTCCTAGCCAAGACCAATGTTCCCTCTAAGCTGTGGAATCTTGTGAGCAAAAATTCTACCTTGTGATCTACTGGCATTAAAGTTGTGAGCGAGTGATTTGGCTACTGCATAAATTAGTTTGCTCTGGAGCCGTCCTTCCTGAGCTATGGCAAAAATGTGTGAGCTGGAGGCTAAAAAACTATGAGCTAGCTCACACTAACTCAGCTTAGAGGGAACACTGGCCAAGACCCAAGATCTTCTTAACTCTGCCTTCAGCTACTCTGCCATGAAAAGGGACTCACCTCTCCAGGCACTGAAGTTTCCAAAGGGGCTCTTCTCTCTCACACTGGCTGCCTCCTCATCCGCCAAGTGGCCGTTCGGCACGTAACGGCCCTCGTCCCCCTGGACAGGCCCCCGGGGTTCAGCGCGGGTGCTCCCATAGCCACCCGTCTCCGCCTCCCCCTCTTGGCCCCCCTCATGGCGCATCAAGGGCTCTTCCTCCTCTTCCAACACATCCGACGGCGTGGGCACGACCCTCTCTGAGCAAGGGGGTGGCAAAAGCGGGAGATCGTGGTACATGGTCATCACAACGAACTGAAGCAGAAGCCACACCAGACACATGAAGAGCTGGGGACATATGAGAAGAGAACAGAGAGAAAGAAATCTGAACACTTTCGTATAGTTCAGAGACAGCAGCACGGAAAAAACCCCACAAAGGGAAACAGCAAGAATGGGTGGCGGCTACGAGCATAGACAACTTCCAGAGGTGATTGGAGAAACAACTGGAGCAGAGGTCCATGAGTGGCTATTAGCCACTAGGTATAGATGGAACTTGAGAAACCTGTATAAGGGTCGAGAAGCAACAGTTAGAACTGGATATGGAACAACTGATTGGTTTAGCATAGGAAAAGGAGTACGACAAGGATGTATATTGTCACCTTGCTTATTTAATATATATGCAGAGTACATCATGCGAAATGCTGGCCTGGATGAATCACAAGCGGGAGTTAAGATTGCTGGGGAAAAGGTCAACAACCTCAGATATGCAGACGATACCACTCTAATGGCAGAAAGTGAAGAGGACCTAAAGACCCTCTTGCTCAGGGTAAAAGAGGAGAGCGCAAAAGTGGGCTTGAAGCTCAACATCAAAAAAAACTAAGATCATGGCATCCGGCCCCATCACTCCTTGGCAAATAGAAGGGGAAGTTGTGTAAGTAGTGACAGACTTCACGTTCCTGGGATCCCAGATCACCGCAGACTGTGACAGCAGCCATGAAATTAAAAGACGCCTGCTACTTGGGAGGAAAGCGATGGCGAATCTAAACAGCATGATAAAAAGTAGAGACATCACCCTGCCAACAAAAGTCCGCATGGTCAAAGCAATGGTATTCCCAGTAGTCATGTATGGCTGCGAGAGTTGGACTATAAGGAAGGCCGAGTGCCGAAGAATAGATTCTTTCTAACTATGGTGCTGGAGAGTCCCTTGGCCTGCAAGAAGATCAAATCAGTCAATCCTAAAAGAAATCAACCCTGACTGTTCCCTGGAAGGCCAGATAATAAAACTGAAGCTCAAATACTTTGGCCACCAAATGAGAAGGGAGCCCTCACTGGAGAAGGCCCTGATGCTGGGAAAGACTGAAGGTCAAAGAAGACGGGGATGGCAAAGAATGAGATGGTTAGACAGTGTCATTGATGCAACGAACATGAAATTGAGCAAACTTCAGAGGACAGCGAAAGACAGGAGGGCCTGGCGGGATCTGGTCCATGGGGTCGCGAAGAGTCGGACTCGACTGTGCGACTGAACAACAACAACAACAACAAATAGATGGAACACTATGTGTGGGGCAGGGATGCTCTGTATTCTTGGTGCTGGGGGGGGGCAAGAGTGAGAGGGCTTCTGGAGTTCTGGTCCTGCTGGTGGACCTCTTGAAGGCACCTGGGTTTTGGCGGGGGGGATTTCAGGGGTGTTCCAGGGGTGGGTGGGGACGTTGCCGACATGCTGATGTCACTTCCAGACGTGATGTCATCACATCGGTGGCATCAGGGGCGACGCTCTACTTTTTGGGCAAACCTCTACGGTGAAAGCAGCTACAAACCATAGAGTTTTGCCCAAAAAGTAGAGTGTCGCCTCAGACGTCGCCGATACGATGACGTCACTTCCGGAAGGGACATCGCCACATTGGCAATATCACACGGGGACGTCTGTTTGGGGGTGGGGCAGGAGCCCACAAAAGCGGGGGATTCCCCGCCCCCACCTGGGGACTTGCAAGCCTAGTAGTGGGGTGGAAAGCGGCGTTCCCTCTAAGGTGAGTTAGTGTGAGCTAGCTCACAGTGTTTTAGCCTCCGGATCACGCATTTTTGCCTTAGCTCAGGAAGGGATGGCTCCAGAGCAAATTAGTTTACGCAGCAGCCAAACTGCTCACTCACAACTTTAATGCCAGTCGCTCACAAAGTAGAATTTTTGCTCACAGGACTCCACATCTTAGAGGGGAGTGCCTTGAGGAAGAATCAAGATCTGCCCAGCAAACATGATGTTTTGTGTTAGACAATCCTCTGGTGCCACTACTCACCCCAGGCGATGTGTACTTGTTGACCACGAAGGGTCCCAGCCGGAAGTCAAAGAGACACAGGAAGAGGTTGCAGGCCGGCCCTGGAACAGACGTGGCAGGTCAGACGCCCACAGACAGGCAACATGGTGGCAGGAACCCAAGGGAAAGGCGGGGCATAAACAGCCAGACAAAATAAAGTTAATAAAGACCCAAGCAAGGGACAAAATCCTGGACATACGTCAGGGAAAGGTTCCGGGAGGGGCCAGCAGACGTGATCCATTAGACTCATTTTCACACATGCTAAACAAGGCAGTTTCAATCTACTCCAGCAACTGTTTGCGAGTAGATTTTGCCATTCCGCACGGTAAAATCCAGTTGCAAAGTGCTGTGGAAGTGGAAAAAAGAAGAAGAGGAAGAGGAGGAAGAGATTGGATTTATACCCCGCCCTTCACTACCCGAAGGTGTCTCAGAGCAGCTTACAAACTCCTTTCCCTCCCCCTCCCCACAACAGACACCCCCTGTGAGGTAAAAGAAGAAGAAGAAGAGATTGGATTTATACCCCGCCCTTCACTACCCAAAGGTGTCTCAGAGCGGCTGACAAACTCCTTTCCCTTCCCCTCCCCACAACAGGCACCCTGTGAGGTAAAAGAAGAAGAAGATAAGAGATTGGATTTATACCCGGCCCTTCACTACCCAAAGGTGTCTCAGAGTGGCTTACAAACTCCTTTCCCTTCCCCTCCCCACAACAGACACCCCCTGTGAGGTAGCTGAGGCTGAGAGAGCTCTGACAGGAACTGCTCTCTTTTTTTTCTTTTTTCTTTTTTCAAGGACAGCTGTGCCAGAACTATGGCTTGTCCAAGGTCATCCAGCCAGGTGCAAGTGGAGGAGTGGGGAATCAAACCCGGCTGCAGGCTGTGGAAGGTCAGTAGTTCAGCAGTTCGAGACCCGGGTGCCGCAAGACAGAGTGAGCTCCCGTCTCTAGTTCCAGCTCCTGCCAACCTAGCAGTTCGAAAGCAAGAAATTGCAGGTAGATAAATAGGTACCACTTTGGTGGGAAGGTAACAGCGTTCCGTGCGCCTCGGTGTTTAGTCATGCCGGACACATGACCACGGAAACGTCTTCGGACGGCGCTGGCTCTTCGGCTTGGAAACGGAGATGAGCACCGCAACCCTAGAGTCGGATTCAACTGGCTTTCGAGCAAGGGAAACCTTTACCTTTACTTAACCACGACAGCAAACTGGCTCTTGAAAGTGCATTATTTTGTGTGTGTGAAAGCACCAGCTGACGGCACAAAGAATCCCAAATTGGAGTGACCGATAGGAAGCTGAAGAATTTTCCCCACCATGGACAGAAGTCTTCCCAGTTCCCCCTCCCCAACAAAGAGGTTCACATTTGGCAACCGCCTTGGAGCCCCCGACACCCATCTCTATTGCCAAATAAGTGTGCCTGGAAAGGCACTGAAGGATCCTGTTTAACAGCCTGCAGGCATCCACTTACTTCATTCAAAATTTGCATCTCTCCCAATAGGGACCCAAATCAGCTTACACAGTTCCCCTCTCCTGTTCTGTCCTCACAACAACCCTTTGAGGTAGGTTAAGCTGAAAGGCTGGGACTGGCCTGAAGACACCCAAGCAAGCTTCCATGGCAGAGTGGGAATCCGAACCAGGTTTGATGCCCCACTCCTCCACTTGCAGCTGCTGGATGACCTTGGGCAAGCCACAGTTCTGATAAGAGCTGTCCTTGAAAAAGAGCAGCTTCTGTCAGAGCTCTCTCAGCCCCACCCACCTCACAGGGTGTCTGTTGTGGGAAGGGGAAGGGAAAAGAGTTTGTAAGCCGCTCTGAGACACCTTTGGGTAGTGAAGGACGGGGTATAAATCCAATCTCCTTCTCTTCTACTTCTTCTATAATCATCATCACCACCATCATTATCATTAGGGGAAAGGGAGCAACAGAACCAGCTTACCGATCAGCAGCCCAACCTGCCGGCAAGCCATGACCGCCGCAAACACCGTGGCTCGCTCCTGCGACGTGGTGGACCGCGTCAGGTGGCCGAAGATGGACGCCCCCGCTCCTGTCCCCACACCTGTCCGTCCAAGCACAGAGGAGACGGGAAGAGATGGCACCCACACATCCCCCAGTGGCCACCCCTTCCCAGGCCTGCAAAATATGCCTTAGAAGCCGTGCCCGCCTCTTACCCGCCACCAGCCGGCTGCTGAGCACCATCCATTTAGAGCCGTCGACGAAGTACATGAAGTTCCCTGAAAGAGAAGGCAGGGAGATACCTGTTAACATGGTTTACGGTCCTCCTTTCTCCCAGGGCAGATTACACACGATCAGTATGAACATAAAAATCGGGACATCCGATAACCAATGCATAGGGAAGGGCTGTGGCTCAGTGTTGAAGAATCTGCTTGGCATGCAGAAGGTCCCAGGTTCAATCCCTGGCATCTCCAGGGAAAAGGAACAGGCAGGAGGTGATGTCAAAGACCTCAGCCTGAGACCCTAGAGAGCCACTGCCAGTCTGAGTAGAAGAGGGAAGAAGAAGAAATTGGATTGATACCCCGCCCTTCACTACCCAAAGGAGTCTCAGAGCGGCTTACAAACTCCTTCCCCTTCCCCTCCCCACAACTGACACCCTGCGAGGCCGGTGGGGCTGAGAGAGCTCTTTCGAGAACTGCCCTTGAGAGCAATGCTCCCTCTAAGCTGAAGAGTCTTGTGAGCAAAAATCCTACTTTGTGAGCTACCAGCATTAAAGTTGTGAGCGGGCGATTTGGCTACTGCATAGATTAGTTTGCTCTGGAGCCCTCCTTCCTGAGCCGAGACAAAAAATGTGTGCGCCGAAGGCTAAAAACCTGTGAGCTAGCTCACACTAGCTTAGCTTAGAGGGAACACTGCTTGAGAGCTTTTTATCCTCACAGCTTTTTATCCTCCAGCTCACAGATTTTTGTCTTAGCTCAGGAAGGATGGCTCCAGAGCAAGCTAATTCATGCAGTAGCCCAATCGCTCGCTCACAACTTTAATACCAGTATCTCACAAAGTAGAATTTTTGCTCCCAAGACTCCACAGCTTAGAGGGAACATTGCTTGAGAGTACAGCTCTGAAAGAACATGTGACCAGTGTTCCCTCTAAGCTGACTTAGTGTGAGCTAGCCCACAGTTTTTTTAGCCTCTGGGGCTCACGCATATTTGTCTTAGCTCAGGAGGGACGGCTCCAGAGCAAACTAATGTATGCAGCAGCCAAATCGCTCGCTCACAACTTCAATGCCAGTAGCTCAGAAAGTAGAATTTTTGCTCACAAGACCCCACAGTTTAGAGGGAGCATTGTTTGTGACTGACCCAAGGTCATCCAGCAGGTGCATGTGGAGGAGTGGGGAGTCAAGCCCGGTTCTCCCAGATTAGAGTCCGCGGTCCTAACCACTACACCAAACTGACCTCGACAGACCAAGAGTCTGATTTAACATAAAGCAGCTTCATGTGTGCTCTGGGATTTGAGAAGTCTGGACCCACCAGGAAGGAACTGAAGTATTCACAAGACACACTCAGCAGTACGGAAGCCTCATAAATAGGATCCAACCTACAATAAAGCTATAGGCAGCAGTATAGACCACGGTCTCAAACACAGATCCAAGTAAGTGTGTGAACTGTTTTGTACAATGCTGCCCTAGCACCCGCACAAAAAAAGGCCTCAGTTTGGCGTACTTTGTGGAAAGCCAGGAGAGGGGGGTCCTTCCTGAGCTTCTCGGGCAGGCCGTTCCACAAGGTGGGGGCCACCACGGAGAAAGCCCAGGTGCGGGCAGCTGTTGATTTTGCTCATCTGCAGGTTGGGACTAGCTAAGGCAGGCTATCAGGGAAGACTGACGCACTAGTGGTATACCTCTTTGGGTGTGTAATGTACCAATCTCTGCCCGCGTGCAACACAAAGGCTCCACACGGTTAGGCTAAACCTCCGAGCTTCGCTACGAGGAACAAAGGACTAGCAGTGATGGCGAACCTTTTAGAGACCGAGTGCCCAACCTGCGACCCAAAACCCACTTATTTATCGCAAAGTGCCAACACGGCGATTTGACCTGAATACTGATGTCTTACTTTAGAAAAAACAACTCATATATTAACTTAAGATGATCCAAACAAAGTAAGGAAAGCAATCCCAAATGCTTTCATTTACTTAAAATTATTTGGCAGAGAATTCGACACTTTAATGATGGTCTGGGCCTGGCTGAGGCGATGGCACGCGTGCCCACAGAGAGGGCTCTGAGTGCCATCTCTGGCACCCGTGCCATAGGTTTGCCACCACTGGACCTGAGGATCCTAGCCCACACCAATCGGAGATCTAGGCTCCCAGCCGAGAGCCTGTGGAACTCTCGGCCACTGTAAATAGCCAATGACTCGAGTGGGGTGTCTTTTGGGTGTGGGGTTTTCAGGGGATATAAACCGGCCTGTGAGCCGGTAAAAGTTGTCTTGTTCTTACTGAATATAAGTCTTAGAGCTGAAATCACAAAGTATGTCTAAGGACTTTTCAGGGTGGAAGGGAAAAAAAACCTTTCTTTCTTTTATGCACTTGTGTCATGATCCCAGGGGGTCTCCGCCTTCCACCGCCACCACCCTGGACTTATGGTCCCTGTTGAGAAGGCCCCAGGGTACCCTCTCAAGTACATATAAAATGCCCCTTTTACAGCCGAGAACACACAGGCGTGATGGACCCAGGCAGAGAAAACAATTAAACAGAAAGGGTTTATTAAAAACAACACTGGGGCAGGGAAAACAAGGCAAGGCAAGGTGCTTAAAAGGGTATAACAGTGTGAAAAGGCAAAATAAACATAACCTAACTAACTAACGCAGCTACCTGAGCAGAGGTCCATCAGTGGCTATTAGGGACTCTGGGGCAAGTGATGCTCTGTCTTCTTGGTGCCTGGGGGGGGGCAACAGTGGGAGGGCTTCTAGTGTCCCGGCCCCACTCCTGGACCTCCTGATGGCCCCTGTTATTTTCGGCCACTGTGTGACACAGAGAGGAATTTCAGACAGACGATATAATCCAGGAGAGGAATGGTTCCCAAACAGTTTCTGGTCTGTCATTTCAGACAGAACCGTTTCCCTACCGGACTATATTTGTAATTTCAGACACAAACGCTTCTATCCCATTTAGGAAACAGGGCTGAAGCGTTTTACCTGTCAACCACTTCCAAGTAGTCTTCAGTTTCCTCTCCCGGTTCCGATGCGCTTTTTCCCACCGTTTTTCCCCCCCGGCGGCGGTTCCCGGGTTTTTTTTTTTTTTTGAACGTTCGCTTTATAGCGCTATAGCGGTATAACGCACCCCATTGGAATGCCTGGAGTGTTGTGTTATAGCACTATAGCGTTATAGCGCTCTAAAGCGAACGTTAAAAAAAAAAGCTGGAGATTGCCCGCACAGGCGAAAAACGGAGGGGGGAAAGCGGTGCAGTCTGAAATGGCAAACCATTTCAGATCCAGCGCTTTACCGGAAGGGGAAAGCCATGTGTGAAATGGCAACCCTATACCAGTTTACTTCATGGCGGATCAAAAACAACTTCAAAATGGGTTTAAACGGATAATGTGAAATTCCTCAGAGTGTTGGACTGGATGGGCCATTGGCCTGATCCAACATTTGTGTCTCTTATGTACTTCCAGGCCCCCAGCCTGCCTAGCACTCACGCTGAGCCCAGTGGAGATCTCCCTCTCTCCCAGACCAGCCTGTCCCCACGGTGAGACCAGGCCGCAGTGAGAGAGAACGCCCTGTTTTTCCTCAGTTAACGGCTAAGACCGACCCTACTCACACAGTTCAACCGTCTCCTCCCAGAATCTGCCTCTCTGATTGGCTATAGCCCGTTGCTAAGCCTTATGGGGACTGCAGGCTGTCTGCTCACTGCCATGCAGGTCTCTCCTGGGACCAGGCCGCACTAGGCCCTGCTCCCAGTCCTGCACAGATCATGACAGCTTGAATCCCTGATAGGGTGACGAGGGAGTTCGCCTCTAACTAACCAGTGACATTTGGATGTCAGATGCTGGGAAAGACAGAAGGTCAAAGAAGACGGGGACGGCAAAGGATGAGATGGTTAGACAGTGTCATAGATGCAATGAACATGAAGTTGAGCAAACTTCAGAGGACAGCGGAAGACCGGAAGGGCCTGGCGTGATCTGGTCCATGGGGTTGCGAAGAGTCGGACTCGACTGTGCGACTGAACAACAACAACAAGAACAAAGGAGCAACTGGACTCAAACTTCGTTCTGCTAAGGGTTGACAGGTCCTACCTGGCTGCCGGCAGGGGGATCCAGTCTCTTCTCCGGGATCTTCTGGTGCACGCTTCGCCCTCGCCATGATGACGTCACCCGGAAGTGACGTCATCAAATCGGGGACAGCACTCTCGTTTTTGGGCAAAACTCTATGGTTTCCTGCCATCAAAACCATAGAGTTTGCCCAAAAACTAGAGCATCACCACCACCCCCAAAGTTCACGACATGATGAAGTCACTTCTGGGCGATGTCATCACATCTGGGATGCCGCCTGGTGGGAGGAGACGACTGAGAGGTGATACGATAACCCTTTTTTGGTGCAGTGGTCAAGCGCGCGGACTCTAATCTGGGAGAGCTGGGTTTGATTCCCCACTCCTCCACTTGCACCTGGCTGGATGACCTTGGGCAAGCCGTAGTTCTGATAAGAGCTGTCCTTGAAAAAGAGCCGTTTGTCAAGAGCTCTCTCAGCCCCACCTACCTCACAGGGTATCTGTTGTGGGGAGGGGAAGGGAAAGGAGTTTGTAAGCCGCTCTGAGACACCTTTGGGTAGTGAAGGGCGGGGTATAAATCCAATCTCTTCTCTTCTTCTTCTTCAAGTACTTGAAGGGCTGTCATCTAGAGGATGGGTGGAGTTGTTTTCTGTTGCCCCAGAAGATCAGAGCAGAACCAACCGGTTGAAATTAAATCAGAAGAGTTTCTGGTGAGGCATTAGGAAGAACGTCCTGACAGAGCAGTTCCTCAATGTGGAAGAGGCTTCCTCGGGAGGTGGTGGGCTCTCCTTCTTTGGAGGTTTTCAAGCAGAGGCTGGATGGCCATCTGGCAGCAATGCTGATTCTGTGAACCTGGGCAGATCACGGGAGGGAGGGCAGGAAGGGTTGTCCCAGGGCTTAGTTCTTGTGGCCCTTTCTTACATGCCCAGGGAAATGCTGATCACCACTTTGGGGTCAGGCACATAGGCGTAATCTTCGTGGGGGCGGTGGGGCTTCAGCCCCCGCCGAAATTTTCAGGAAGGTGCTCAGCCTCCCCCGGGAGCCACCCTTGCTCCTAGCAAAGCAATGCCTCTGGCCCAGCCCCAGCCCCCCCCCGGGAAATTGGAAAGTCTACACCCTTGGTCAGGCAGCAATTTTTCTCCAGGCTGGGGATCCTGGAGGAGTCTGTTTGTTTGTCATCTTCTGGCTGTGGAACAGTGGTCACTGGAGGTGTGAGGGGGGAGGTATTTGTGAATTTCCTGCATTGTGCAGGGGGGTGGACTAGGTGACCCTGGAGGTCCCTTCCCAATCTATGATTCTATGCCAGCCTCCAGATGGGACTTGGGGAAGCCCCCAGAATCACAGCTCATCTCCAGGCTACAGAGATCAGTCACCTTGGAGGAAATGGATGCTTCGCAGGATGGACTTTATGGCAGGGGTCATTTCCTGCAGGAGAGCACAGGAGCGGAGCTCTGGCAGTAAAGAGCCCCCCACGGCAGTAAAGAGACCCACATGCAACAAGCCCCACCCCCTGCTCCCAGCAGCCCTCAGTCTGAGCAAGAAGCAGCCAGGTAAGTTGCAGAGCCCCCCCTGGCCCTAAACAGTCCAGTGGCACCTTTAAGACCAAGTTTTATTCAGGTACAAGCTCGCCCTCCTCTGTGAGGACAGATCTGCATCTTCCCCCCCCCCAGTGGAGCCTGAGCGGGGGGTGTTTGCTTGTGACACCATTCTGGTGATGTCAGGGGGTGTGGCATATGCAAATACTAATGAGTTATGCTAATGAGCTCCTGCACCTCATTTTCTACTAAATGACCCCTGCTTTATGGCATTGTACCCCACTGAGGTCCCCGTCCTCCCCCTCCCCAAACCTTCAGAAATTTCTCAACCTGGAGCTGACAACCGTACCCCAGCCCTTCCCTATCTAGCCCTATGCCCAGCGATGGTCCCCTCCAAACGTTGTCCACTTACCAGCTATCTGAAACAAGTTGGCAAAGAGGATGATAGTCTTTGTCTGACGGGTGCGGTCCGACCAGTACCCAAAGACCGGCCCTGTGATCAGTCCGGCGAAGCTGAAGGCGGAGATGGCCAGCCCCAGGAAGTAGGCCTCGCTATCAAGTGTCCGCAGGTAAGCCCAGATGGTGGGTAGGATCACCGCTGGGGGGGGGGAGGAAGGGGGGGGGAGAGGAAAAAGGGTCACCCAAAGAAAGGCGATCGTCAAGAGCAGTATCCTTCAGTCTTGTCAAGGAGACTGAGGCGCCTCCACCGCCCTGAAAAGACCCTTCCCCTTGCCCCCCCCCCATTCACAGAGGTCCCAATACAATTCCAAGGTGAAAGCGAAAAACAAAAGCATTTATTCCCTTTCTACTGAATAGCAGGCGTGATTGGATTAGGTGTGATATGTGATATGGAGAAGGGTAGTGAGTGTGGAGAAATCAGCACTGGTAATGAGACAGGAAACCTAGGTCTCCATTCAGTCCAGGAGTATGCATTGTCTTGAAATATACTGGATCAGATCATTGGTCCATCCGGGATCAGTATTGTCTGCTCAGACCGGCAGGGGCATCAGTGTTCCCTCTAAGCTGAGTTAGTGTGAGCTAGCTCACCGTTTTCTAGCCTCGGGCTCACACATTTTTGCCTTAGCTCGGGAAGGGATGGCTCCAGAGCAAACTAATTTATGCAGTAGCCCAATCGCTCACTCACAACTTTAATGCCAGTAGCTCACAAAGTAGGATTTTTGCTCACAAGACTCCACAGCTTAGAGGGAGCATTCCACATCATCTATTACCTGACCCTTTCAACTGGAGATGCCGGGGACTGAATCTGGGACCTTCTGCATGCCAAGCAGAGGCTCCACCACTGAGCCACGGCCCCTCCTACACACTCAGCCTAACCTACCTCACAGGGTTGTTGTGAGAATAAAACAGAGGAATGTTTTGGGACCCCCACTGGGGAGAAAGGCAGGGGCATACATGAAACCAATTCATCAATTAACAGGCCCTTTGCTGCCGGCTAGGGGAGAAAGAGATCCCTTGCCTTCCAAAAACTGTCAAGGCTGTTGGGAACCCCCAGCCCAGGTGAAAGCACAAATGAAAACGGTACCCATACCGATATTATATCTGAGAGAAAGGGGAGCAAAGGCTGTCCTGGGTAGGGTTGCCCACTCCAGGCTGGGAAACACGCCAATGCTCCCTCTAAGCTGTGGAGTCTTGTGAGCAAAAATTCTACTTTGTGAGCTACCGGCATTAAAGTTGTGGGCTAGCGATTGGGCTGCTGCACAAATTAGTTGGCTCTGGAGCCCTCCTTCCTGAGCTAAGACAAACATGGGTGAGCCAGAGGCTAAAAAACTGTGAGCCAGCTCACACTGACTCAGCTTAGAGGGAACACTCCTGCAGTTTTTTTGGGGGGGTCAAGCCAGAAAAGGGCACAGTTGGAGAGGAAAGGTCCTCAGCGGGGTAGAAGGCCGTAGACGCCACCTTCCAAAGCGGCCATTTTCTCCAGGTGAGCGGTCCTCCATTGCCTGGGGATCGGTTGCAATCCCGGGAGATCTCCAGCCGCCACCTGGAGGTTGGCAACCCTGCTCCCGTGGCTGGTGAGTCTTTGTGCCCTTTGAAAAGGGCGTTTGCAGTGGCTGTCCCCTCTCTGGAACCAGTTCCCTGGGGAAGTCCGTGCCCAGCAGGATCTCCCCGCATTCCATAGGGCAGGTAAAGCAGCTTTTTTCCCAGCAGCCTTCGGTTAACATTACGAACTGGCTGCTTTAATTCTCTGAGTAATTTAAGTCAGTGGCTTTTTTAAACTGGTTTCATTGTTTCGTTCATTGCATTTATTAGTATTATATTTTTTTTAATGCTGAAAGCCACCTGGAGTCTCCTGTGGGAAGAGGGTGGGGGAGATATACATTAAATTAAATAATAAATAAAAGCTCAGGCAGGATGCAAAGGAGCAGAAGAAAGGGAGGAGGAGATTGGATTTATACCCCGCCCTTCACTACCCAAAGGAGTCTCAGAGCGGCTTACAAACTCCTTTCCCTTCCCCTCCCCACATAGGCTTCCCAAGTCCTCCTGGGGGGCGGGGAAACCCCCGCCCCAGAGGCCCGTTCCCCGGCGGCGGATCGGGCCCCGGGGGGAACCCCACCCCAGCGTGTGCGTCACCAGGAAGTCACGTTATGACGCCGGGCACGCTGGGGGCGGGGCCACGGTCATCCAAGGGAATACTCTATGGTTTTCCCTTGGATGATCGTGGCCCCGCCCCCAGCATGCCCTGCGTCATAACATCACTTTCTGGTGATGTGTGTGCGGCGTGCGCTTTGCGCGCGCTCCAGCCACAGACCGGGAGTCCCCCGGTAAGTAGTTTTTACGACTTGGCAACCCTGTCCCCACAACAGACACCCTGTGAGGTAGGTGGGGCTGAGAGAGCTCTGACACAAACTGCTCTTTTCAAGGACACCTCTTGTCAGAACTATGGCTTGCCTAAGGGCACCCAGCAGCTGTGAGTGGAGGAGTGGGGAATCAAACCCGGTTCTCCCAGGTGAAAGTCCGTGCCCTTAACCACTACACCAAACTGTAATGTTTGGCCATGGGCTTTTCCTCAGAAGCAAGAAGTCTTCCCAGGCAGTCTACTTCTCCTAAGGAAGGGGAGGGGAGGAAATCCCAGAATCCCACTGTCCCCAAACCTCCTAGTGTTGTTACCCACCAGCAACTAGCATTCAGTGGTATACTGCCTTTGAACATGGAGGTTCCACTCAGTCATGGTGTCTACTGATGGACTGATTGTCTCAAATGCTAAGGCTTATCCTGACCCTCCACTGGCGGGCTTTAGCCTGATAATACTTGAAAGGGCCAAGTGGGCATACCTCCCCGGGGCTCTTTTTGTAGCAGGAACTCCTCTGCATCTTAGGCGACACACCCCTAATGTAGCCAATCCTCCAAAAGCTTACAGTAGGCCCCTGTAAGAAGAACTCTGTAAGCTCTGGGAGGATTGGCTACATTAGGGGTGTGTCGCATAAGATCACAAGGAGCTCGTGCTACAAAAAGAGCCCTCTCTATAAGCCGGTCCTCTCACAAACCACCAAGGCCCCTCCAAGTTATCTCGGTACCCCAAGCCTCCTCCTGTGCTGCTGTGCACAGAAGTAGCTTGGACTAGCCAGAGACAGCACAGGTCCAGGAAGCCCATGGCCTCATGCACCACCGATGGCCGAGAGCATGAAAACCCCTTTGGTCCACCATCCCCCTCTTCCTCGTGCCACCCGAAGTGGTCACCCAGGCGACTTGGTTGGAGAACCATCCCGATGAGCAAGCAGCCTACCAAGCTCCCATCCCTGCATTTATGCCCCCCTCCAAATAGAAGCGGAAAAGTTGTTGCCGGTTGGCCACTGTTGTTGGCTGGTTGGCCTCTCTGCCCTGTTGTTGGCCCTCCAGAGGAGATGGTTGGCCACGGTGTGAGACAGGAGGCTGGACTAGAGGTACTGGTCTGACCCAGCAGGGCTCTTCTGATGTCCTTATGAAGGCCTTGGCCTCTGTGCCCGGTTCTCGGCCCCCCAGAGAAGCTGGTTGGCCACTGTGTGAGAGAGGATGCTGGACTAGAGGGACCACTGGTCTGACCCAGCAGGGCTCTTCTGATGTCCTTATGAAGGCCTTGGCCTCTGTGCCCGGTTCTCGGCCCCCCAGAGAAGCTGGTTGGCCACTGTGTGAGAGAGGATGCTGGACTAGAGGGACCACTGGTCTGACCCAGCAGGGCTCTTCTGATGTCCTTATGAAGGCCTTGGCCTCTGTGCCCGGTTCTCGGCCCCCCAGAGAAGCTGGTTGGCCACTGTGTGAGAGAGGATGCTGGACTAGAGGGACCACTGGTCTGACCCAGCAGGGCTCTTCTGATGTCCTTATGAAGGCCTTGGCCTCTGTGCCCGGTTCTCGGCCCCCCAGAGAAGCTGGTTGGCCACTGTGTGAGAGAGGATGCTGGACTAGAGGGACCACTGGTCTGACCCAGCAGGGCTCTTCTGATGTCCTTATGAAGGCCTTGGCCTCTGTGCCCGGTTCTCGGCCCCCCAGAGAAGCTGGTTGGCCACTGTGTGAGAGAGGATGCTGGACTAGAGGGACCACTGGTCTGACCCAGCAGGGCTCTTCTGATGTCCTTATGAAGGCCTTGGCCTCTGTGCCCGGTTCTCGGCCCCCCAGAGAAGCTGGTTGGCCACTGTGTGAGAGAGGATGCTGGACTAGAGGGACCACTGGTCTGACCCAGCAGGGCTCTTCTGATGTCCTTATGAAGGCCTTGGCCTCTGTGCCCGGTTCTCGGCCCCCCAGAGAAGCTGGTTGGCCACTGTGTGAGAGAGGATGCTGGACTAGAGGGACCACTGGTCTGATCCAGCAGGGCTCTTCTGGTGTTCTTACGAAGGCCTCGGCCTCTCTGCCCTGTTCTCGGCCCTCCAGAGGGACTGGTTGTCCGCTGTGTGAGAGGAGGCTGGACTAGAGGGACCACTGGTCTGATCCAGCAGGGCTCTTCTGGTGTTCTTATGGAGGCCTCGGCATCTATGCCTTGTTGTTGGCCCTGCAGAGAGACTGGTTGGCCACTGTGTGAGAAAGGATGCTGGACTAGATGGACCCTCACTGGTCTGATCCACCAGGGCTCTTCTGATGAGAGAAACAGCCCTGGAGAAGGCTCCTACCCTTGTCCTGCCTTAGCCCCGCCCTCGCTTTCCCTGGCCCCGCCCCAAAATACAGGAGGGAGCACCTGCCTGAACAGCACTAAGCAAGAAATGCTTGGCCGTGCTGGAAAGCCAGACAGGAATGTCCCAGCACCTGCCACAGTGAGCCCGGGCAAGGATGAGCCAGGAGTAGGGCCTGGAGATCTCTCACTATTACAAGTGACATTTTGACATCCTTGGAGAAAATGGCTGTTTTGGAGGATGGACTCTGTGGCATTCTACCCTGCTGAGGTCCCCACCCTCCCCAAATCCCATCTTCCCAACACTCCACCCCCCAAATCTCCAGGTATTTCCCCACCCAGAGCTGGCGACCGTAGTGCAACCCTCCCCGCAGTGAGCCTTCCTTCTCTGTACCGCCGGCTTGTGCCCACCCCTCTCTTTGGACCAGGATGGCCCCAGCAGGGGGTGGCCCCGGATTCAGGTGGCCGCCCCCCCAGGCCAATGGCCCACCAGGACTCTT